TAGGTATATTCCATCCAGCATTAAATTTATTAGGCTTTCCAAGTATACTAAACCTCCACTTCTATCTGTCGATCTCCCTTTTCTTCAGTTTATTTCGTGGCCACCAACCATTTGAAACTTCCGTCGACAGAGCAAGGCTCCTGCTTTGTCTCATGCTTCGTCCTGAAAATGGATATCTTAATACATACCCTATTCTTGTCAGTTTTACCTCATACCTAGTATACATACATACCCTATTCGGAAGACTCCTAAGTCCAACACGGCCTAATTCTAAGGACTTACTTAGGACATGGACGAAAGTGGGTGACTTAAACTAGGTGGATATAATAGACTGATCTTGTGGGTGATTAAGATAAACTGAAAACAAGATTAATCAAATAAACAAAAGAGAAGATTGACCAGAAGTAGCAAAGCAGTTAGAAACAGGATACAACATCACTTGGCTCTGATACCAAATATATATATATATTAAAGTATTGAAATAGTTAAATAAATAAATAAAGAGGTACAAACTTTAGGAAACTTTAGAAAACCTAGAATTTGAATTTAGAATTAAATTAAATTCTCACAATTACAAATTTTAGAAAACCATTTAGGAACCCAAAATTTGAATTTAGAATTAAATTAAATTCCCACAATAATTTTTATTAAAAAATCCAAATGAATTTTATCTAAAAAATTAATGTTAGACCCGAAAACGACGTCAACTTCCCATTCACTCATAAATGGTTTTGACATTCCGTCTTCACCGTGTGACTTGCCACGCGACAAGGAACACGTCACCTCTTCAGACCCACCCAAAAAACGTTTGGGGCTCACTCAACTTGGGCTAAAAAATATGCCTATATTAAATCTTTTTTTTCCAACATCATCATCCGATGCAACATTTTAATTCCCTATCCCTTTTTCTAATTTATGTACCATTGTTCATTACATCATTGAGTTGAGTATAAAAATTATTCAGTTTCTTGTTTTGTTGGCAGTTCGACACGAAATATTACTATGAAGTAGGGATTGGACGCACGGCAAGAACTTTTTGGTTTACAACTCCTCCTGAGGTTGGCCCGGATGTCCCATATACGTTTGGTCTCATAGGTAAACTCCTCTTTATTATATCAATTTGCCTATGATTGTAAAATCTTTTGTACATGTTGAGTTAGTGTTTGATATTTGGTATGCTGTTTCTATCACCGTTCATTCAAGCTAAGGAGGCTTTGGTTCCACTTTTGCTAGACTTTTTAATGGACCGTTAATTGGAGATGATTACGAGCAATGTGCTTTTTTCTTTTGAAACTTGGTGTTATTTAACTTGCTGGCTTACCATTTTGGGGGAACGCTACGTTTCTTTTCCAAATTTTGTTTGTTTTTGTTACCAAATGAACCTCCTGTGCCTTGGTGTGTGTTTTGTTGACTGTATCAAGCAACTTTTGCAGGGGATATTGGTCAGACTATGATTCAAATAAGACTCTTACTCATTACGAATCAAACCCAACAAAATGGAAAACAGTGCTGTTTGTTGGGGACCTCAGTTATGCCGATTACTATCCAAATCATGGTAATGAAAGGTGGGATACATGGGGAAGGTTTGTTGAGAGAAGCACTGCATATCAACCTTGGATATGGACTGCAGGAAATCATGAGATTGATTTCGCCCCTGAACTCGTAAGCATGTTTGCAAAACGTTTATTTGTTTTATTTGAAATTTCTAATTTGTTATTTGTGAAATTTCTCAACATGATTTCTTATTTGTCTAATGTGAAATTTCATGGTCCATAAGTAATCTCAACATGCTTGGGAAGAAGTTATACCAAGATTGCGTCAATTATCCTATCTCTCTCTCTCTCTCTCTCTCATAAACAAATGGTAACTTCTAACCTTAGGCAAATAATTTGTGTCATTGCTTTCTTTGCGAAGTAGGATCCTATTTATTATTGCATACAATTTCCAAGCTCCAAAACAGGAAAACAAAATCATGAAATTGATCTTCCCCTTCAAACCATGTCAATATGCTTTATTTCAGTGGCACAAAGCACAAAATTTGAACTTACACATACAATAAGATGTTGATTTATTTGTATAAATTTTTGGCAGGCCTTAAACTGTCTTAAAGAAAAATGTAATGTGACAGAAGAGTTGTGTTGTTTTTGCAGGGCGAAACAAAACCATTTAAGCCTTTTACTCATCGTTATCGTGTCCCTTATAAAGCGTCAAATAGTGTTGCTCCCTTTTGGTACTCAATCAAGAGAGCTTCGGCATACATCATAGTCTTGTCTTCTTATTCAGCATATGGTAAGAATGTTGCACATGTTTCTCAGACCTATGCTTTTAAGTTTTATATTCAATATAATGATTGGCTATCTATGAATTGCTTTTAGGCAAATACACTCCTCAATACCAATGGCTTCTGGCAGAGCTACCAAAAGTAAACAGGAGTGAGACACCATGGTTGATTGTTCTTATGCATGTTCCGTGGTACAATAGCTACAACGATCATTACATGGAAGGAGAAACCATGAGAGTGATGTTTGAGCCATGGTTTGTACAGCACAAAGTTGATGTTGTGTTTGCTGGCCATCTTCACGCCTATGAGCGATCAGTAAGAGCATTTTATCATCATGTTATTATTTTTTAAAATATCTTCTTGTAAAGATACTATTGTGGAGTATTGGTGGTGTTTAGCTATGTGAGACTACTTTTATGATGTAACAAATGAAAACGAGAAAGTAAAACAGAGCAATCACATAAGAACACATATATGTGGTTCAGCTTAGCTTATATTGAGAGAACATACCAAAAGTTTACACCACTCACGTAACCCTAATCCTTAAAATAATTCATAATGTGGGTGTTTGGAAAGTTGGTATTTTAGTAGATTATTTTAGTTTTTGACTATTTTAAGAGGTTAAAATTTTTTTGTTTGGGAAAATTATTAGATTTTTTTTTGTAATTGGATGTAATGTTTATGAGAGAAAAAGTGAAATAATTATAGATTTGATGTGAAATAATTATGTGATTTTTGTCTTATTAACTATTTTAACATATTTTTGTCTTTTAATACTATTTTAACCAAAGAAGCTAAAAATGCTTCTTCCCAAAACACCCCCAATACAACTAGAGTCAGGTCAGACCTAGCAGCCACAAACTAGGAATAATACGAGACACCCCCAACAACTTTCCAACAATTACTGGTCTTATGTTTGGCCTATATCGAACAAGAATTTTAGGCTTTAGCAACAATTTTCTTCCAGCTTAAATATCACATAATCAATGGAACTATAATTTTACAATTTTCTTCCAGCTTAAATATCACATAATCAATGGAACTATAATTTTTCAAAAGTTAATTAAAAGGGCAAATTATACTAACAATCCCTATAATAGTTTAGGCCTTGTGTCACTTCAGTCTTTGACTTTTCAATTGTGACACATTTGACCCGAAATTTTGAATCTTTTTTTAAATAAGGACAATTGACATGCCATTGCTTAATTTCAAGGGCAAAATAGTCAATTTGATAAAATATAAATTAATTTGACAAAAATAAATGTGAAAAAAATATTTTAAAATTTTTAAAAATTATATCTACCTACCAAAAATAAAATTATGTAAAATTGATAAGAATTAATAAAAATTACATGATTAATTTTTAAAAATTAATTTTACATGATTATCATCCAAATACATAATAAAAATTAATTTGGTAAAAAAAAAGAAATAAATGTCTAAAAGATTTGTCAAATTTATATAATTTTATCTTTAGTAGGTTGAAATAATGTTTAAAAATTTAAAAATAATTTTTTAACATTTATTTTTGTTAAATTAATTTGTATTTTATCAAATTGACAATTTTGCCCTTGAAAAATCCAATAATATATTCAATTGTCCTTATTTGGAGCAAGATTCAAAATTCAAAGTCAAATGTGTCACAATTGAAAAGTCAGGGACCAAAATGACACAAGCTCCAAACTATAGGGACTGTTAGTGTAATTCACCCTAATTAAAATTCATGAAATTATAATTTTGAAACTTCAAAATTTCAGATCACCTGCTTAATTTGGAATTTTGATTTGTGTATTTATCTGGGCATTCATTGTGTATGGAAAATATTTTGATATTTCTATTGTTAATTGACAACTATTTATTGTAATCGCAGGAACGCGTATCCAACATTGCTTACAATGTTGTAAATGGCATCTGCTCTCCTGTAAAAGACCAATCTGCCCCTGTATACATAACCATTGGCGACGGTGGAAATATTGGAGGCCTAGCAACCAAGTAAGATTAGTATATAACATAGAATCGGTCTTCTTTGTTATGATTGCCTCCAATTTTTAAACTTAAATCCGTTCTTTTGCGGTGCAGCATGACAGAGCCACAGCCGAAGTACTCAGCTTTTCGTGAAGCGAGTTTTGGTCATGCCATTTTTGATATTAAGAACCGGACACAAGCTTATTATAGTTGGCACCGTAATCAAGATGGCAATGCTGTGGAAGCTGATTCTTTATGGTTTTTTAATCGAATTTGGCATTCAGTTGATGATTCTGCAAGCACCCATTGATGACGATAAGCATGTGTACTCTATAATAAGTTCTTCATTCATAGTCAATATAGATTTTAAGCTTTCTTTTGTTCTACACTTCAATTGTGTTGTCTTTTTATCTGCTAACTAGTGCTGTTGATGCTTCTCCTCATTTGCGACTGAAAAAGTGTGGTGAATAATTATAATTTTGGCCCGTATCTTCGATGAATTCACTTGTTCTTCTGAGGTTTAGACAGTAAAAGTGAATTGTGAATAATTGATTCTGATGGTTTCAATCATCTTGGAATTCCTGAGAATAGAATCAAACACAAAGACAATTGTATGAAATAGCCCAACAGTTTCTTTTCTGATATTGAAGTGTTAACATTGATTGTCAAATTGTCTGAGGCATGAGTCAGAGAATTTCCATTGTCAATTGAAAGACAACCATGAATGCCACACACGAGAACTAGAAAAGAACTACTGATCATTAAAAACATGAGTACCAGAGTTTGGCCCCTTTTTAGGTTCACCCTCCACCATACAATTCTCATCTTCGTCATCGACCACGACCGCCGGCACGTGGCCCTCGAAGAGCTGGCCGAACAACTTGTCCTTGCGAGAGAAGGTGGTACCGCCTTCCACTTGGAGTCACCGCAATGCCTCAAGTGACTCTTCAAATCGGCCAACACCGAGACGCTCTTGTTGTTGCATCGATTGCACGAGTACACCTTGGGGCAGTGGCTCCTCTTGATGTGATTCTTAACGCAAATCGCCGTCTTCTGTGGCCTGAACTTAATATGCAATTTGTTCCGATTACAACCTACAAACGGACAAGAAAACCGCGTCTTCCTCCGATTGCTCGTCTTCTTCATCTCCGTCTTCGTCTTCGTCTTCGTATTCTCAAATATAACAGAATAATGTTATCATGGTAATTGCCAGCTATGATTGATTAGTGTAACGGAGCAGTAACAGAACCTCAGACGAAGGTGAAAACAGTAATTCACGTCCAAGAACTAGATCCAGAGGAAAACGGACAGGTTTATGCAATTTGGTGCATCCTTCTCCTCCATAGTTAAAAAGCATCAAATGCAATATATTATCTCAGAAAGCTCCAGTATCTTAACAGTCTTGCCAGCATGCACCACCTCAGCCTGAGATTTGAAACGGGCATTTTATATATATATATATATATATATATGATGCCTAATATTATTCAATAAATAAACTAGGGGCACCACTCAAGTACACAAGTAAAATAAATTTACAAAAAAGAAAGAAGAAAAAATCTACATTGATTCAAACTAAGAGGTTGTTTGGGATGACCTAAGTGTATTTTTTGTCTTTTTACGAAAAGATGTGTAGAAAAGTAGAGGTGATGTGATGAAAAAAAGATAAAAAGATGGATTATTTGGAACTTCCCAAACTTGGCCTAAAAATAACAAAAAGTAGCCTAACCAAGACTCTTATGCTGTGTTTGGTTTGGGGATTTGAGGAGAAATTTGAAAAGAGAAAGAAAAAAAAATGTGAAACTAGGTAAAATATAGGCATGTTTTATTCACATTTCACCTACCTTTTTCATTTCTCTTTCCAAATCTTTTTCTAAATTTCCCAACCAAACACAACATAAAGAAAAAACAGTGGACAACCCAAAACAACCCCTAATCAAGTCCCTCCACACACGGTATCCAAGAAAATTGCTAAGACCTTTAAATCTCTCCATTACACACCTTGACAATTTAATCCATCTCAGGTCCTCCATTAGCAACTCACAAGCCCTAGTTTTCTTCCAAAATTTTCTTGCACTAATTGTAAACCATCCATAATCTAGTTCACAGTGAAGCTTAACTCTACTTTTTTGCAGTGCATATGTAATGTAAATACAAGAATATGCATACATGAAATTTAGACATTGCTTGACTTGACCAGGATCAATATCAAACAGTAAGAATAAAACTCCGAACCTTTGCCGCTGATGTTCGATAGCCTTCAACAGTCTCTGGAGCAGAAGACAGATTCCGGAATAGTAGCAGAGACTTTACTACCGGCTTGTTGTTGGAACAATCTTATGTATATGAGAAAATAATGTGAAACAAATCAAACAAATAAAAAATAAATTACTTACAAGATTAACTAACCGAAACAACTTAATAATAAAAATGATCAAGTCGAGTGTGTGACACTCTATTCTTAAGACAGATTTGTTCCACCTCGGTGCTTACGGATAAATAGAGTCTATCTCCTAGGATACAATGATCTGCGCAGATTGTAGTAACACTCCAAACAATCTGTACGGTAAATTAGAACCTGTGTTCTATACTCTCAGAAATTTCTCTAAAAACTAGTATGAACAATAATGCAAAAAGAGAACAAAACTGGAAAGAGAAATGAATTTTCTAGATGTAAAAATCTGCTGGAAATGTCTTCTATTTATAGGAAAATTGGTGACTATTGGACAGTTCTGAACAAATGATTTTGAATTGAACAGGTGCAAACAACATGAACAGATATAAAATTTATTTGAAACCAGTTTGATCTGTTGGAAACTGCTGGGCAGTTTTAAATCTGTCTGGGAAGAAACTGAATTTGTCCGGTGCAAAACAGGTTGAAAATCTGTTCGAATCTACTTGGAATGGTTTGGAAAAGACACACTAGTTTGGAGCAAAAAATTTGAATTCAAATTGATGCAAAATTCAAATTTTTCCTGCAAGAATTTTTGAAACAAATTTAAATAAATTTTATCTAAAAAATTAATGTTAGGATCCAACCCACAACCCGAACGGGTGTGTGCTAGTTTAGGCCAAAGCCCACTTTGTCCGTAACTCTTCCTTTTTACAAACTTGGAATGCCCCTTTAGGCCCAACCCAAAGTGTGTTCTACCTAAAGCTTATATACACACAAAATCTCACTTAAAGTTTCAACGTGGAACTATCATTTCAAAAAAACTCACATTTTACGTTTTAATTGTCCATTCCATGAACTCGAAAACGACGGCAACTCCTCATTCACTCATAAATGGTTTTGACGAATTGTTTACACCGTGTAACTTGCCATGCAGCAAAGAACACGTCATCTCTTTAGATTCACTCCAAAAGACGTGTGGACTCACTTAAATTTAAGCTCAAAATAAACTTATAAAAAATTTATAATTCCAACACTTGTATCAAAAGAAAGGAGGCTGTTAATTGTACAAAGTTACGCCACTTTTGGTGCCTTCTACTAATGTCAAAAGAAAGGTAATTATAAGCAACGGCAGCAAGCAAAAGTTTGTGAAGGCGAAAGCAACATCCTCGCTCGGAGGCATTAGTGCTTTCGTAGGTATTTGCAATATAGAGGAAGTAGCCAATTACTTGTGCTATGTACGGGATAATTATAAATATTTATATTTTTTTTAATATATAAATTATATTTTTTTAGATTTTTTATAAAAATAATTTAACAATCTTATTACTAATCATAGTGTACAGGAGAAATTAAAAAGGCTACTGTAATAACTATGCATGAGTTGTATCTATAATTATTTATATGAGGGGATTTTAAATGCTAATCAGGGATTTTGACCAAATCAATAAATGCAGGCATGTGGATTGAAAAAAAGTTAATAAATACTGATCAGGAAATTTTGACTAAATTAATAAATGCTGAGATTTTTTTTTAAAATCAAAAATTAAGAAAATTAAGATTGAGAGATTGGAACTCTCACAAAGTTTGGGATTTAGAAACCTCGTTTTTCTTAATATATTTACAATTTTCTATATATGTGAATTGCGATTTTTAAATATATATATATTTTTTTAAATGTTTTCTTTTTTTTCCTTTTTTATATTATATTAAAGTTTAATATTTTGATAATAATCATATGTGTTGGACTTTTCAAGGAATTAAATGTCTTCTTTTTTTTATTATATTATATTAAAATTTAATATTTTGATAATAATCATATGTGTTGGACTTTTTTAAAAAAAAAATTATGCTTGTTCTTAATGTATTAAAGTGTTATTATAAGGGATAATAATCATATGTGTTGGGACTTTTCGAAGAATTCATATGTGTTGAATTTCAAAGATTTTTTTTTATGCTTGTTCTTAATGCATTAAAGTATTATTATGAGGGTAAGACTTGGAGGTTGGGAGAAGTTAATAAATGGTAAGATTTTTTTTTTTAAATTAAAAAATTAAGAAATTTAGATTAAGAGATTAGAACTCTTACAAAATTTGGGATTAAAATTTTTTTCTTACTTAATATATAGTATAGAAGTGAGAGTGTTAATAGCTTGGGCGGGTGATTATTATGACAGAATGTAAATGGGAACAAACCTAGAAGCAGAGTTGTGGATATTGTACAAAAGCTTCACTGTCATATTATAAATGGGCTTAAACAATGTGATGATAGAAACAGACATAGGGTTGATTTAGGAAGTTGGTAAAAAATTAGTTTTTGATTTTTTATTAAGTATTTTGGCTTTTTTGAAAGTGAGTTGGGAAGTTGATAAAAAGTTGACTTTTTACTTTTTAATTTAATATTTATTTATGGTATCAAATCAAATTAAAATGACCAAAATATCTTTACCCAACATAAGAGATTTATTTTTTTATTTTTTTTTCATAGGCCCTAATTTGTAAATTTACAGCTGCATTTTTGGCACTTGCCAAATGATTTTTCTGACGTTTTTGGCAGCCACATTTTTGGACATTTTGTTTAAAAACGTGACTTTTTACCATGTTCCAAAAATGGCACTTAGCCCAAGCAGTCAACCTAAGGGAGGAAGAAACTAGGGACGAATGCCCCTTCGAAAACTTGGTGAAAGATGCAAAAATTCTCTTCAGAGGATGTGAAAAAAAAAAAAAAAAAGAATAGGTAAGAAAATTTTCGAGTTACTTGAAAAGACAAGAAAATAGTTAAAAAATGATATTAAAAAAGTTAATTTTGTCTTTAATTAATTCTTTCTATTTTCTATTTGTGCTTTTGTAAAAAAATTTAAAAAATCTTTCCCAAGCAATTTAATTTTTTTAACTAATATTTTTATCAAAAAATTAATAAATCACTAAAAAAAAATCAACTAACCTTTCAAGGAATGGAGAA